ACATGGCTATTTAATTACAGGGTTATTTACTAAAAGTGAGAAGTCAAAGTGAATTTTAAATTTAAGGTTAGAATAGCCAAACTGAAAGCAAAGCTGACTTAGAGGATTTTTCTGGTTTGGCTATTTTCACTTAAAATTTAAAATTCACTTTATTTTTTACATTATCACTTTAGTAAAAAAACATTTGAATAGGAATTTGGAAAGCCAAACTTGGAAGAAAAAAAAAGAAAAAAATATCCCCTGGTCCATCAGAGTAAAACATTACAAAAATATGTACTATTATGACAAGCCAGGGATTGCTAAATTCATTCCATATTAAATGACATATTGGTAGATGCCCAGTTTCCTGGACATGAATCTACCGGCCACTGGTTTAAATTATATGCCGAGGGATATCCCGGTAACTTCTTCAATTCAATTGGTGCTCTATCCTTGCAATACCATTAACAACCCTGCCTCCCCATCACTTGAAATATATGTGGAAATATGGTAGTTTCTTCTATGATATTTACGTGTGGAAATAACTTTTTACACAACTAATCTATAGTTATCAGCTGATTCCTATGTGTCGTCAACATTTGTCCTGCTGGGCATAAAACAAAAAGATTAAAAAAATCTTAGAAGCCCTGGAGCAACTTGTAGAATAAAACACATTGTGTTCCTGTCAATCATGTCTCTTCTGCTGTGATGATGGTTGCTAACCAAAAATGTTATTTTAATAATTTTACGTTTTGCAAGAAACTAGTTGACATTTATTGAGGATTTCTGCTAAAATTCATGCAAACAGAATTCTCTGTGCTTCCAAATGTGACTATTCAACCAAAGAACGCAAAAATAAATACAAAATAGATGTTCTTTTATTCTTGTCTGAACCAAATTATTGCAATCTCATAAAAATCAACAAAAACATTTCATTCATTTTAATCCACATGCCGACAGTCATTGATTATAACTTAGGCAGAAGTACAGATTCATATATTCGTTCACTTATGACCTCACTTGTGATGTTGATGGTTCTACAAACCACGGCAAGAAAAGGAAACCAATTATTAATAATGTTTATACTGAAATTTCTAACTCTACAAATCCCACAAATAAAGCATCTGGACAATTTTGTAAAGTATATCTTCAATTTCACAGCACAGCCTCTCTGTGATTTCCATCCCTTATTATACAAAGGGACTATATATGACTAACCCATTATACTTTTTTCCATACTTATAAAGGAGCACTGTAAGCCTTACAATCACTACAGCCACTGAAGTGGTTATGGTGCCAGGATTGCACTGGCGCATTCCCAAGATGACTAGCCAAATCAAATGCAAATGGTTTGACAACTAACATGGGGTCCCATGGACACCAGTCACAGCCTTCAAGAGAAACCAAAGATTGTGAGCTTTTATTGGCTCCTTTGAGCTAAACCCAACCGTGCAGGGTTCATCTTATGTTGAGAACATCAACTGAACTCTCTCAGCCAATGAACTAAGCCATGCACTGCTGGCTTCGCTCAGAGCAGAAAGCCTCCAGCTCTCCTGGAAGAGGCACCCAGAAGACCCCAGGTAAGTTTACAAACCGTTTGCAAATGGTTTACCTACTTATCCTAGGAGGGTGCAACGGGAATTCTAGCACCATTGCATTGTGCTGTAGTGGTTATGGTGCTTGGAGTGTTCTTTAAATTAGCAGATCATTGGACAGCTAATTTTTACGTTTGTTTAATGTTACTAGATCCCATATAATACAGTTTTAAGTACAAATGCAAATTTAAATTAAATCAAGACAAGCATATTTACAATATTCATAAACTCTTTTTTTTTGTGATCCAGAAAGATTTTCTCTACAACAATTCAGTTTTTAAATAAATTAATTAAAAGTGATTTACAGCATCAATTTCCCTTCACCTGACTGATCTGTAACTACACTTGTGTACAAATAAATTAAGTTTGGTTTTGATTTAATAAGCATTCCAGCACTGTTAGAAAATCTTTCCAAATGATTTATCAATAGAAGTCACCAATAAAGTCTATGGAATTTTTATAGATACATTATTTCCAAATAATTTATCTACATAAAGCATGTCAAACTTGCAGCCCGCGGGCCACATGTAGGCAGAGGGTAGAGACACTAAATGTCAGTGCTCCACACTGTGCAGCACTGCCCCAGGAAGCACCTAATAGCCATCTGCAGAGTGGCCAGTGGAGGTATTTCTAGGCTGTAATGTAAACACTGCATTTTTTCTGAAAATTACTGCAAAAAGCCTGAGGGGAATGATAATACTCATCAGAATAAATGCATTAAATTTATTCTGATAATACTCATCAGAATAAATGCATTAAATTTTCTGAAATTTACTGCAAAAAGCCTGAAGGGAATGATAATACTCATCAGTATAAATGCATTAAGCTGTAGTTGTTCTGGTGACTATAGTGTCACATAAAGATATAAAGGGATATCTGACTTTGTCCCTCAATTGTTCGTAGACAGTCAGGGGCATGCAGAGCATTATGGGAAATGCAGTCCAACAATTGCTCAAGGGCCTAGGTTGGACGGCCCCTAATTTGAGACTTACAAGTACATACTATCCTTTCTTAATGATATCAAGGCTCTGACCTTTGACTCCATTAAACCCAGTTTAAGACTCAAAGGCAGATGACACTGCACATAATCTAATCTTTAAATATACTATATCAAAGTTGATTGTCTAATCCACTTAGTATAGAACTACCAACACTAAAACAAGGCAATGAATATTAACAAAGTGAGGTTATGCTGAGAACATTAAATGTTATTGGTCCTTAAAGTGAACCTGTCACGTCATATATAGGTTTGCAGTTATCTCACCATCTGGTTTGACACACCTTTTGTAGAAATACCTGCTCCTCTCGGCTCTGCATGATCCCAAAAGTGACTAATTTTATGAAGCTTAACACTCTACCTGGGTCTCTATAGGCTATGTAGTAAAGGGTTTTTTGATAATGTGTTCTTGTTGGCACACACTTATGACATCACTATGTCCAATATCCAATCGCAACCGAGTATAGCGTATAAATACTTCCTGGCTATCCTTGTTTCTTTACCCCGGTATGATTCTTGTTACCTGAGAGTGTGTTTATACAGTGTATTGGATTTACGGTTTTCTGACCTTGGCTTGTTTTACCAGTCTTGCTATCCTGACCTTGGCCTGACTATTGATTCTATGTATCTCTGTTATCTTAGATCTCGAACCTGTCTCTTGTTTACTCTCTTTCTGCTAGCAGACATTTTGCTTATCTCTCTTAGGCACTAGCCCAGCCACTCTAAGGACTGTTATGTGTTCCGTTATAGATTTCTTTAGTTTGTGTGTTAGGGCATCTCCAATCCTGCAATATTTCACAGTTAAGTGTTTCTTCCCTTGATACAATCAAAAGTGCTTTTTTCACCATTTGCAATTTTTATTGAAAGTAAGTCAAACACAGGTACATATCTGGTACAATTCTGCACACTGTGGGCATTAGTAATATCGGGACATAACATAAATCTGCGTTGTCTGAAGCTTAAACTAACCAGGTCATGAAGAGCAGAGAGGACTACTTAGTAGGGACTAAGATAAGAGAAAGATGAAAAGGAGAGTGGAAGACGTAGAAAGAGAAGAAAGAAGATGAGAGAAATACCACGTTGACTCTGCGAACCCAATTGTTTCAGGTTTTCTCACACTTCCTGAAAGGGTTGTAGATTTCCCAAGAGTTTATGTGACATCTCTTCATACTACTTTGATGTGAAGTCTGTTAGAAACAGCTTTGATGGTTGGCTGAAGAGTTGATTTCTATGTGTGGGAAATAGAAGTGATTAGACCTGAGATTGTATGAAGGGTGAGGACATTCCCTATTCCAGTTACCGCTGGCGGGACATAACTGCTCCATACTGCTATCCTTTCTACCCTCCTGTTAGCCTAGAGGAGCAAGGAGCCCTCATCCCCGGTGTCGGTTGTCTGGTGGAGCAATAGTTCTAAACACAGCTCCTCAAGGCTGAACTCTTTTCAATGGGGCTAGAAGATGCTCTGGTTCCTGAGATTTCAGAGCCGTTGCCAGATTTTTGGCACCCACTGGCTGCATACCACTTTTAACTTCTCACTCTGGCTCGATTTCCACTCGTATTCAGTGAGGCAGTGAGTGGAAAATGCTGTAATAGACAGTGGCGGAACTACCGCGGTCGCAGAGGTTGCAGCTGCCCATCACTCCAGGGTGCCTGCCGGCGATGTGTTGCGGCCCCCAGCCCGCTCAGTATCCAGGGGGCCCGGTCAGCTCTGCGGCACTTTAACAGCACGACCGGGCCCCCTTTGATGACAGAGCGCAGGGAGGAATTGACTGCCCCGGTCACTTCCTCCCTTCAATCACAGAGCCCAGGCGGGAGGAAGAGAGGAGGGAGTCAGAGTGAGAACTCTGACTCCCATGAGCATGAGCCACTGGACCCCAGGGAAAGTCACCCTCCTGCACCTAAAAGGTAGGAAACAGGAGGGTGACATTTTGCATGTTTCTGTGTGTGTGTGTGTGTGTGTGTGTATGTATGTGTCTCTGTGTGTATGTATGTGTGTGTGTCTCAGGGCCGGTGCAAGGATTTTTGCCGCCCTAGGCAAAAGTAAAGTTTGACGCCCCCTCCTCCCCCCCGTGACATCGCAATGCCCCACCCATATGACCTGCCATGTTAACTAACGCTAGTGCTGCAGTGCCGCTGTGTTTACATTAAAAGGCCTGCAGGGACAGGCTATAGACACCAGGACCACTACATTAAGGTGCAGTGGTTCTGGGGACTATAGTGTTTCTTTAATGTGAGGTAAATTAGAGATTAGTGCCACGAATAATATACTAGATTACCTACTTACAAGCAGATGAGGATGATGATGGGCTCTAGCTGCAGTCTGGCTCCACTGGTCTGGTGTATAACAGGATCTCTGGAGGCTGTTTGTAACTGTGGTCACACAAATCAATGTTCTGGGAGAACGAGAAGCAGCTCCATTTTTTGGGGGCCCTTTACACAGCTCAAGGTCTGGGTCCCAGGGTCCACCTTCATTTTCCACCAATGAGTTTGTTCACAGGGGATGGAGTGTGTAGGGAATGTCCTGATTTGTGTGTAAGGAATGCATTTTGTGAATCTGTGTTTGTATGTGTAAGGGCTGCAAGGTGTGTTTCTGTGTATGTAAGGGATGAAGTGTGTGAGTCTGTAAGGGGTGCATTGAGTGTGTGTAAGGAATGCATTGTGTGTTTCTGTGTGTGCAAGGGATGCATTGTGTGTAAGGGTTGCATTGCGTGTGTGTGTGTAATGCATTGTGTGTGTAATGCATTGTGTGTGTAATGCATTGTGTGTTTTTCTGTGTGCAAGGGGTTCATTGTCTTTGTGTGTAAGGGGTGCATTGTGTGTGATTGTGTGTGTGTGTGTGATGGATGTCAATCTCTCCCCCCTCCCTTGTCACTCTCTTCTCCCCCCCTCCCTTGTTACTCTCATTCCCCCTCCCTCCCCTGTCACTCCCCCCTCCCTGTCAATTTCTCTCTCCCCGTCAATTCCCCTCCCTGTCAATGTCTCCCCCCGTTAGTTTCTTTCCCCCCCCACCTCCCTGTTAGTTTCTTTCTCCCCCCTCCCCTGTCAGTTTCTTTCTTCCCCCCTCCCCTCCCCTCCCTGTTTCTTTCTTCCCCCTCCCTGTTTCTTTCTTCCCCCTCCTTCCCTGTTTCCTTCTCCCCCTCCCTCCCTGTTTCCTTCTCCCCCCTCCCTCCCTCTTTTTCCCCCTCCCTCCGTTTCTTTCTTCCCCCTCCCTCTGTTTCCTTCTCCCCCCTCCCTCCTTCCCTGTTTCCTTCTCCCCCTCCCTTCCCTGTTTCTTTCCACTTCACTTTTCTTCCTCCTCCCTGTTTCTTTCCCTCCTCCCCTTGTTTTTTTCTTCCCTCCTCTGTTTTCTTTCTCTCTCCTCTGTTTCCTTCTCCCCTCCCTGTTTCTTTTCCCTCCCTCCTCCTGTTTTTTCTTTTTAGCCCTCCTCCTTTTTTTTTTCTTCTCCTCCCCCTCTCTCTTTTTTTTTCTTCTTCCCCCTCCCTCCCTGTTTCTTTCTTCTTTCCCCCTCCCTCCCTCTCTTTTCTTCTCCTCCCTCTCCCCTCCCTCTCTTTTTTTTTTTCTTCTCCCCCCTTCCTCCCTCTTTCCTCCCCCTCCCCTACCTGTGTGGTAGTGTGGCCGAGCCCAGTATAGTCCGACCGGTACAGGGAGCTGTTGTTTCCTGTACCCGGCCGGACTAACAGGAAGTGAACACTCAGTGTTCACTTCCTGTTAGTCCGGCCGGGTACAGGAGACAGCTGCTCTCTGTACCGGTCGGACCAATAGAGGGCTCGGCCACGCTACAGAGAGGGAGCTGACAGGAGGGAGCGCTGAGCGCTTCCCTCCTGTCAGCCTCTCCTCAGGCTGCGCCCGGGCGGTGCGGTCCGCCCTCATGGGACGCTACCGCCGGACAGCTGCAAGCCGCCTGAGGCTCTTCACAGAGCGCTCGGGCGGCTGCAGCATGAGCGGGGCCGGCGCTCCTGGCGGCGCCCCCTCCCAAGGGGCGCCCTAGGCGGCTGCCTAGTCCGCCTTACAGGTAGCGCCGGCCCTGGTGTGTCTGTATATATGTGTCTGTCTGTGTATGTATGTGTCTGTGTCTCTGTGTGCATGTGTGTGTTTGTATGTGTGTGTGTCTGTGTGTCTGTTTGTATGTATGTGTGTCTACATGTATGTGTGCCTGTATGTCGGTGTCTTCAAGTGTATCTGTCTGCATGTGTGTGGGGGGGGGTGTGGAGGGGGTGGGTAGGTGTGGGGGGTAGACATCTGGGGAGTGGGGACGTATGGGTTGGGGGCATAGGCGTGCGCACGGGGTGTGCCGGGTGTGCCTGGGCACACCCTAATCCCGCGGCACGCCTATGTATATTGAGACCGGCAGGGGAGATCTCAGGATCTCCCCTGTCGGCTCATGCAGAGCCGGCGCTATCCGAGCGCCGGCTCTGCTCTCAGCCTCCCTCCCCACTGACCCACATGCAGGTAGGGAGGCAGGAGAGGACCGGCGGAGCTATTGCCGGCAGCTCCGCCGGGTTCCTCTCGCGAGATATGAGCGTTGCCACGGCAACGCTCAAATCTCGCGAGAGTGAACTCTAGCCCCACAGGGGGCTAGAGTTCACTCTCCACTGGACCACCAGGGAAAGCAGCAGCACTATCCCCCCTCCCTACAAAAGGTAAGAAGGGAGGGGGGATAGCAAGAAATGTACCCCCACCTCCACCCCCACAATCACCCACACACACATACAGCACGCATACAGCACCCACACACACATACAGCACACACACATTCAGCACCCACAGACATACACAGCACCCACAGACATACACAGCACCCACACACATTCAGCACCCACAGACATACAGCACCCACAGACATACACAGCACCCACAGACATACACAGAACTCACAGACATACACAGCACCCACAGACATACACAGCACCCACACACATACAGCACCCACACACACACAGCACCCACACACATACAGCACCCACAGACATACACAGCACCCACACACATTCAGCACCCACAAACATACACAGCACCCACAGACATACACAGCACCCGCAGACATACACAGCACCCACCATACACAGCACCAACAGACATACACAGCACCCACACACATACAGCACCCACAGACACACACAGCACTCACAGACATACACAGCACCCACACACATACAGCACCCACAGACATACACAGCACCAACACACATACAGCACCCACACACACATACAGCACCCTCACAAACACACACAGCACCCTCACACACAGCACCCTCACACACAGCACACAAACAGCACCCTCACACACACACAGCACACTAACAGTACCCTCACAAACACAAACAGGACCCTAACAAACACACACAGCACACTACCAGTACCCTCACACACAAACAGCACCCTCACACACAGTACATTAACAGCACCCTCACAAGCGCACACACACACACAAACAGCACCCTCACACACAGTACATTAACAGCATCCTCAGAAGCACGCACACACAAACACCCTCACCCACATAGCACACTACCAGCATTGTCACACACACATCACACTAACAGCACCCTCACACAGCACACACACACACACACAGCAGTGTGTATATATATATGTGTAGTTGAGCGAACCTGAACTTTAAAGTTTGGGTTCGTACCGAATATTACAGCTTTTGGACCCCGGACCCGAACACGGACATTTCAGTGAATGTTTGGGTTCAAGTGTGGCGATTTAATGGCGCGTCTTGAAAAGCTGCAGGGCAGCCAATCAACAAGCGTTTGACTGGTGTGCCCTTAGAAGCCATCACAGCCATGCCTACTAATGGCATGGCTGTGATTGGCCAGTGCAGCATGTGACCCAGCTTCCATATAAACTGGAGTGACGTTGTGCCGCACGCACATGAGCTGTTATTAGTGTAGGGAGAGGATGCTGCAGCTGTGAGGAACAAATTAGGAAAGAATTCTGGTGTTGAATCTGCAAACTACAGCAATTTTTGTGGGTGCTATCCTACATTATTGTACCCTACCCTGAGCCCAGTGCCACAGAGAAATAATCAATCAGTCTGTTTATTAATGTGCCAGGCACATTACTTTAATCCTGTTCTGGTAGCTCAGTGGGCAACATCTAGGCATTTTTAAATACTGCTGTGACATCACAGTTTTATAAATTCACATTTTTTTGGTGCTAAAAAGTACATTTGTGGCGTGCACTTCATATCTGAGAGTCAAATAGAACCGTCAAATACTGTGGTTACATCGCAGTTTTAAAAATTCAATTTGTTTTGGTGCTAAATAGTACATTTGGGGTGTACCCTTCATATCTGGTGTATGTGTGCAACACTGGCTAGTTACCACTTCTCAAGAAAGTCTAAAGACAAATAAATGTTGCCTCTGGTGCAGGTATTATAGAAGGCAAGACTGAGAAAAATCGTTTGGGTTACGTTTCCCTGTTGACATGTTAATTATCTTAGACCATTAAAATTCAATAATCAATGAAAAAACACACTGTCATACAAAAATATGTATTATAGACAAGTTAAAAACAAGACTACAAGTCATGCTATAAAAAAATTAAACAAGTTTTTAAAATATGTATGGGCCAACCAGTGACTGTAAAAACAAAGTTTTAATGGTTACATTCATGACATTCAGATGTCATATTGTTAATTACCAATTTTTATTTAGCCTGATTTTTTTTTTAAAAAGTGAAAAATAAGTGTGATTGCTTCATATACAGAAGCATTAATATACATTTCTATATTGTGTAAAGACACAACTACAAAGTTAAAAACCAAACACCAACACAACGTGCCAGACAATCTACCTGTGCATGGCTAGTGTGATACAATAAGTCTACATCTTAAAAATGCAATAACCCACAGAAGATGGGCGAGAATTTTTTTTTGCAAATGGAACTTTGATTCGAATTTACTACATCGGTCACTTGTCATATTGTTTCACACCTACAACACTTGTTAAACAGATCTAAGTGATAGAAAACAGATTGATATTTTCTATACTAGAAACTACCAGATAACAAGCTGCTATATTTAAACCAGTTATCAATAGCTAAGAGATACTTAAACAATATTGTAATTCTGGGGCAATACCCTCACAAGTCAAACTGAGAGGTCAGTTTATAGGGAAAACTGTTGCCTGGATACAATTCTAAAACAATTTCCATATGTCCTTTGCAGACTTTACAATTTAAATATTTAAGTGAGTTTGAACATGTGAATACAAAATATTTTAAAAAGTGTATAAATATCAAAAAACAAGCTTAAAAAAATGAAAAACCCAACTCTGAAGCATGTTTGTCATTCTGGATGTTCAGCTGGCCTGCAAAAGAATGAGTTATAAAAGTATACCGCACAAGTTTTACATAGGTTGCCATTATACTGTATATGAAATATTTGGAGATACAATTTAGATTACTTGCACTTTGAATCTTTAACACTCCACGCAGCATTACCACTTCAGCTTGACAACTTTCCGTTGGAGGAAGTTGCCAGCAGGCCCCCAGGTGCCTGAAGCTCCTGTTCAGGACCTGCCAGCACAGGAAGGTGCTACCAACACCCAGTGGAACCCAGGTAAGTTGTCAAATAGCAAGCTGACTACTTACACTGGGAGGGCTCCAGGACACACCTGGGACCATAATCTTTATCACTAATCTACAGGCTGTACCAATTATAGTGTTTGCCATTTCAGTTATTCTTGGTGAACTTTACATGCTGGAAAAA